ATATATATATATATAATATGAAACCACAGAGCATCTGTTTCACTAGAGGAACCTCTGTGAGCAGGGTTCTCTGAGCCGTCTTTTAAAACTGAATGGAGCTCAATTCACTTTGGTGTCACTCAATTTAAGAGGCATTCATAAAAGTAAAGTCACGATTCAAAAATAATGTATTTAATTTATCCTGGTTTCCAGTCATTAAGAGAGGTCAGAGGTCACAGTTGGACAATAGAAGTTCAGTATCTTTCAGGCCACTTTGTATCGAATTCAAAAGGCTTTGATCTGTGTTACCCAGGGGAGGACTGGTCTCCCACTCAGACTGTCTTCATAACATAGTGCAACAAAAGAATTTCCTAAGAATTATTAACTGTATACTGGCGCCAATTTCAGATTAAACCCAACTCTGTTGATTTTTACACATCAAAGTCTGGTTAGTGAGCTTCCCAAGGCCCCTGTAGTCTGTTACTCATCTGTGCTTGAGGCCACTAGCACAACACAACTGAGTCCATGACCAAACTGCCTTGGGCAAGTTGCAGTGTGGGTGACGTAGGTGCCAGAAAGAAGAATGTGTGGAATAGAAAAACGCGATGGCTCCAGTTCTTTCTATCGGATAAAATGCACTGCTAACAGCTGCTTTTCTCCTGCAGTTCTGGAAAGAGGTGGTGGAGGACGCTGAAGTAAGGGAGCTGATCTGGGACAAAAGCAGCCCAGCACAAGGTAAACACACTTGATGTAAAAGCCACAGAAAGCAATAAAAGGGTACACTCCTGTGTGCTCCCACGGTAGATTTATTGACACCTTAAATGCTGTGACATGCTCGAGTGTTCAGACTTTGTTTACTGTGACTTCCTTTTCCGTTTTTCTTGTGTAATACCTGTGAGTTGTGCTTTGTGTTTTTAACCCCCTCTCCTTGGAACTATTCCCCACCTTACTCTTAAGTATTTCACACCCCCTTTACAAAAGGTTTTTAATAAGTAAAAGCAAAGATTACATGGAATAAAACAAGACTGAATAAATGAGGCACACAAATCATGGTACAAGTTTAGGAAGCTCAAGTTCTTAAATGTCAACACAAAGCAGTACACTATTTTAGAAACAGAATTATGTTATTTTTTCTTGATGCACGTGATCTTGAAAGTTGAATTTCTGTCGCCTGCTCAACTGTGTGTGTTCACACCCTCATCTGGCACGGAGCTCTAAATTGTTCCTGCTCTGTTCTCTTTGCAGATGGTACGTCGTGTGAGGAGCGCTGGCAGAGCCTCTTCCACCCGCCGCGGAACCCGGGTATCAGTGACATGGAGGCCCAGCGGGTTCTGCAGATTGCCGTTATCCTGCGAAACCTCTCCTTCGAGGAGGCCAACGTCAAGCTGCTGGCGGCCAACCGAACGTGCCTGCGCTTCCTTTTGCTCTGTGCCCACTGTAACCTCATCTCACTCCGACAGCTTGGACTTGACACGTTGGGCAACGTGGCGGCCGAGGTTGGTCGGCTGCTCCTGTTTGGGTTCAGTTTGGGTTTGGCATAGTAAAAGTGTAACGAGCATGATTTCAAAAAGAGCCACCTTATTAAAAACGGATGATATGGATTTGGGTCACTTCTGTAATGTAGTAGGAGTGAAGTGTATGAGGAAGATTTGTTTCCAAATATAGGTTACTGTGACACAGTAAACTGTCTTCTCTTAGCCATCATCTCTACTCCAACAGTCTGCAACTGTGTAGTACACTACTCAGCGCAGTGGTCTGAACAGATTTAATTGACCAGTGGCCAAATCCCTCCCCTGTACAGCGATTGACCACTCATAGCATAGCAACAGTAACTATGCAAAGGCAGGTCTTTCAAGCTTTGGATTTCTCCACATATTGAAGTGAAATGCATAAGGCTGTAGTACAAGCAGTGCTCTGTGTTTGAGAAGTTTAGAGGGTGGTGTCTTTCTAAAATAGTTTTTTATAGCTTTATCTAAAACAAAAACACGGGAAAAGGGTGAAAAATGAATTAAACTGTGTATTCATCTGTTCCAATGTAAACAGCAAACACTAGCATGTCTGTCATTAACCAACTGCAGTACTTTTAGTTTGTGGGGTTATGGTTTTATACTTTAAAAATAAAAGAAGAAAAGCCCTGTTTTGGACTGTGTCGTATTACGTCGACACATTAAAAAGAGAGTATTCAACCAATCCATTGGGAGCTAACTATTAGCTTAATTAACTGCTGTAGTTGACCAAATCTGCCAGTGACATTTCAGCAGGCAAAGCCAACAGTAGTGTACTGGAAAGACTTTAAAAGTTCAATGTGCCTCTGTTATTGTAAAGTGCATGTGGTGAGCCTGAACAGAAAGCTGCACAAAGCCACAGTAACTAAGGGAGGCAGGGTTGAAGCAGGTATTCTTGTTAAGCTGTTTAGGTAGCTAATTAAGCAAACAGCTGATGTTGGTATGAAAATGTAATATTACTAGCCACAGCTAACTCATGGCTTTTACATTTTGCGCATCAGATGTGTTGACAATTACATTATGGCTAGCTCACAAGCTTACATTATCTTCTTCTGAATGTATAATGTGATGATTAGTTCCTGCTTGGTTCATTAAGAATAGGGCTGGGATATGTTTATAAATACTATCAGCTGTAGCTACAGTTTCCTAAGAAATAAGGACAATGTCTGCCAGATGGTGTGTTGTCACTTCCAAGCAGTCTGTTTTTCAGAATAATCTTTACATATTAATTTCACCAAGGTGATTTATCGTATACATTAAACTTCTGGTCTGTAGAAAATGTAGAAAAAGTCTTGAATGTAGAAATGAAAACGTTGGTGAAACAGTGGCTGACTATTAAGTCACGGTGAATACATTACATGGGCTTGCTTCAATTTTAATATCGCATTTATTGCCATGAGATGCATGTAGATGAGCCCTCTTCTATTTTTAGAAACTGTATGCATAGGGTCCCTGATAGAATCGGTTAAGCCCTTGATGCCATTAATTGGATGGCTGGGTTTAGGACACATACCACATTCTTCAGATACGATCCTGCACAGCCGTGTATTATCTGTTAATGTCAATAATATGAATACTACTAGAACTTCCTTTTTGGTTGCTTATACGTTGTGACCAAGAACACAAATCGTTAATGTCCTGATGGAATTACTGTGTTTTGGCTTTTGGGCGACTTGCTGCTTTTAAATATAGTAACCAGCAGTGGTTTGGTTTGGATCAGTGCAGTTATAGAAGTTGCTGTGTGTCTCGTTGTTACAGGCGTTTAAATCAGAGAAGGAGGTTTTAATATCTTTAATGAATGCCGGATGGGGGGGATCGTTGAATAAATCTTGTCTGATTTCTTGTAGCTCCAGCTGGATCCTGTTGACTTTCGGACAACTCATCTGATCTTTCACACCATCACCAAATGCTTGATGTCCAGGGACAGGTTTCTCAAAATGAGAGGTGAGATTTTCCTGGCGACCCTAGTGGACAAAAGCGGTAGCATTTCTACCACCTTATTTCATTGATTTCGAGGGGAATCCTCTAACCTGGTGGTCAGGCATTAAGAATAATTATAGAAATGGTCTTTTTTTATGTAGGCCATGTAGAGGCAGCAATATTGAATGGACTGTTTTAATTGGAGGATTAAGTTAAATATGTTTTTCAATGTGTCCTTTTAGCCATGGAAATCCTGGGCAACCTCAGCAAGGCTGAGGACAACGGCGTGCTGATCTGCGAGTATGTGGACCAGGACTCTTACAGGGAGGTAACGATGCTCCTCACCCTGCCAGACCTCATGCTCCTCATGGCCTCCTTGGAGGTGCTGTACCTGCTGGCTCAGCTCGGAGAGGTTCCCTGCAGCAAGATCGCCTCCGTCGACCATAGCATAGGTATGAATCCTCAGCTAACATTCACTTTTGTTTTTTATTAAACATACCGTGGCAGTTAACTTGGCTTGACTTTTTTTTTTTTAATTTTCCTTCATTCCAGTTTCCTCTACTTAATAAGTGAATCCAGAGCTTGAAATCTAATGTCACATGGGCTTAGTAGAGTTTTGGTAACTTGTCTGCCTGCCACGTTTTATCACGCTAGTCTTTCCATTCATGAATAACCTGGCTCAAATGACAATGTCTCTTTTCCTCTACCCCTGAAATCTTTATGGGTCTGGTTTGGATTTCGTTCTCACTGTAGGAATGAGACATTTCTTTGATCTGCTAAGTGGCTGAAATGCAATTACTTGTTTTCAACGAGGCCCTAATGTGCTGATCAGTATGTGTTTTTCTTCTTTCTCGTTCTCTCCGGTTAGACCTGTTAGTGCGGTTAGTGTCGGTTGACCTCCATACGTTTGGACCCGACGCCCTAACAGCGGTGCGGTTGATCGAGCATCAGGCCAACGCCGACCAGGCAGCCGAGGTTCGACCACAGCTGGTGGAGCAGGTACCTGCAGCTGTGCAGGGAGTGCCAGCACCTGGTGAGTGTCTGTACATGGCCATGGGCTGCCCGATATGGTAGAAACATCTTATTGTGTTATTTTGACAGATATTGCGATAATCATTTGCAATTAGTTCAGGAATGATTGCAAATTGCAACTTATTCGCTTCACCCTCCCTCTTCGAACGAGAAGGAGAAACTACAGTGGTTTCGAAAAACGCGATTGGCCCTATCTAGAGCCAGTGTTTGGTTTGTTCGTTCTGGTCTACTGTAGGAAACATGGTGGTCTCCTCAGAATGCAACCTGCAACGTCTGTAGATGAAATGGTTCTTTCTGAGGTAATGAAAACAAACAAAACAATTCTTCAAACATACCTATGAATATTCAATTTCTTCCAAGAAGGTCCTCCTAAATGTTACACTCTGGACCTTTTTTAAGTGAATTTCATGTGTCAACTTTGAACCCGAGGTATCGGAAATGAACAGCTGTGGAAGTTTTCTAAACCAATATGGTCTACTGGAAATCTAGAATATACTGATCTTCACCAACAGATACTAGCCTCCTCTAAAGTATTCTACTTAAGAATTATATTTTTAAACCTATACTCGTTACCCTTTTTTTTGTTTATTCTGATTTTGCTCATGGAGGTCCAGAGTTCTATGCAAGTAAAACGAAAAAGGCCATGTAAATAATACAAATGACCACCAGGTGACACACCACAGCAAATCCATGTGTGGTTGCTGTGGCATACAGAGTGAAGGTAACGTCCCACTGCTGTAAACTAGGTTAGAGCCAGATGAGGTTTTAAAGATCTGAACCAAAAATACCACAGAACAGCTTCACCACGAATAACCCACCGTGAGCTCAAATGAAAGTTTGTTTGTGCCCGACTCTGAGACTTTGTCAATTTAAATTTATTCAACACAATGAATGGAATGTATTTGATCTTTATGACTAAAAACCATGTAACCTTAAGTCTGCCCAGAGCGTTTTTGTTTGTCACTGCCAGTTTACAACTAATTCAATTACAACTGCTGACTCACCTGTTGCTGAGCCATCATTCACTACAAGTTGTTTACAAGCCCAGTTAATTTTGTACACACTGAAATAGCAGCTGATTATCAATATCATTTATTTTTATGCTGAAACATCTAGTTAAGCTGTAACATATGCTCAACAGAGGATGGCGGTTTTGATCTCTTACTATTCGCTATATTCGCAGCGTTCCATGTTTGAACCTTTTTCCTGTTCGTGGTGAAAAATGTAAGAAGTGAAAAAGCAACATTAAAACACTGAACAGTTATTGATGACATTTCTAGGAGGCAAGAAAATTAACGGATTATTTTGTTTAACTACTTTCATCTGATAAAGTAAAATGATTTGGAATCAAATGCAAAAGTAAAAGCTGCTTTCCTAACTTGCCACAGTCAGTGTGTGAATTAACAGCTGAGCTGTGGTGGGAATCTAACACACCTAACCTTGGAAGTGTCATTCCTGTGTGGTCAATGTGCTCCACTGGGCTACAAACTTATTAGCTTGCTGACATCTAGTGGACAGCCTGGGGAGTTTATTGAGTCAATGGACGAATACAACATGTTCTTCTTTTGCTTTGCAGTGCAGTCTTACTTTTTTTGTTCCTTATTTCTTTTCTTTCTTTGTGTCTTTTCAGTAACAAGGGTCCCTGTTCAGTCCACTCAACCACCACCGGGTATTGTTGAACTAGATGGGGAAAAATTTACACTGCAGTGGTAAGATAATTCATCTGTAGACGTGCATTCTGCTAACTCAATTGAAGAGAAACCCAGCTTAGATATCTTTTTGTGAAGAAAATAAATTTAGGATTGTCTCTGTACTCATCCACCCTTATGTCTGTAGCTCGTGTCTTCATTGTTTTGCTTGCGTAGTAACCACACTGTGGTTTGTTTCCCCAACAGGCTAAACGCACACTTTGAGACAAACCCTGAGGGCTCTGTGTCTCGATCAGAAATGTACTCCGAGTACCTGGCCACGTGCAATAAAATGGGACGAGGCAACATCTTGAACTCCACCGGCTTCCTCAAATGTCTGCGGTCAGTCCCGTCTCCTCTCCTGTCTGCTGCTTTTATGTTCCACCAGCACAGAGCACTGCTTGTCTGTGCCCTGACCAAGATTGTTTGTTATAAAGCGGTTACTGCCCTTTCCCTTTAAAGAGCAGCTTTAACTAAACCTAGCTGTTTTGAGTTTTATTAGTGACAGTAAACCCCCCCCCCCCCCCC